AAAGATGAATTCACTATTACAGTCAGAAACATCAACATTCTTCTATCAAAAATGGGTACATCTATCAGGCAGAAAAGTCATTAAGACACAGTTGAACTCAACATCATCAATCAACTGGTATAATTAACATCTATGGACTATTTCATCCAACAACCACATTCTTCTCAAGTTCACATGGATACTCCCCAACTAGGCCACTCTGGGCCTTGAAACAAAGCTTAACAAATTTAAAAGAGATATAAGATGTCTGTTCTCATACCACAACAGAATTAAACTAGAAATCAGAATCAGAAAGATAATAGGAAAATTTCAATGGATTTCTAAATAATACTGGGAACAGGAAGAAATACCAAAAGGAATTTTTAAATAATTTGAACTAAATGAAAATTAAAACACAACTTCAAAATTTGTGAGACAGAGTAAAAGCAATGCTTACCAGGAAATTTGTAGCACTGAATGCAAATATTACAAAAGAAATATCCAAAATCACACATCTCATCTTCTACTTTAGGAAATTAGAAATGGAAGAATGAATTAAATCCAAAGAAGCAGAAGAAAAGAATAAATAAATGAGCAAATCAATGAAATTGAAACAGGAAGTCAATAGAGAAGAATCAATAAAACTAAATGCTGGCTATCTATCTGAACAGATCATTAAAATCAATGAGCCTCTAGCAGGACTAAGAATGAGAAGACACCAATTACTAATATCTAAAATGAAAGAAAAGATATTATTACAGTTCTATAGGCATTAAAAGAATAAAGAAATATTACAAGCAACTCTATGCCCACAAATTTGATAACCTAGATGGTACAGACCAACTCTTGAAGAATTGGCATCCAATAAGACACAAATATTCTCATAGTGTTTGTTGTTGTTGTTGTCGTTTTTGGTACCAGGGATCAAACTCGGGACCTTGCCCTCGTGAGGCAGGCACCGGAACCACTGAGCTAAATCCCCAGTCCCTCAAGAAACAAATATTCTGAACAGGCCCACATTCATGAAAGAAACTGAATTAACAACCTTCCCAAACTCACCAGGCCCAGAGGGATACAATGTTGAATACTACCAAATATTTAAGGAAAAAATTATACCAATATACTTAACACAGAGCATCAAAATGAATGAGGCAAAAACTGATGGAATTATAGGCAGAAAAAGATAAATATACTATTAAAATTTCTTCCAAAAGTTAGAAGCAAATGGAATATTTCTGAACTCATCTCATGAAGACAGTTACCCTATTACCAAAACTAGGTGAAGACGTAAGAAAATTACACACGAATTCTCCCATGAATACAGATTAAAAAAATGAGCAAATCAAATCTAACTAATCTATATAAAGAATTATATGCCCAAACCAAGTGGAATTTATGTCAGATGTGCAAGGCTGGCTCAACATATAAAATTCATTACACCAACAAGCTAAAGAAAAATCATCTGGCATGGAGGTACACATCTGTAATCTCAGCCCTCAGGAGGCTGAGTCAGGAGTAATGTGAGTGCAAGGCCAGCCTCTGCTACATAATGAGACCTTGTCTCAAAAACAGACAAGCAAACAAACAATCACCCAACACAAAACAAAACAAGAAGAAAAATCACATGAGCATATCAATAGTTGTAAAAAAAAAATCATTTCACAAAATGCAACATCCATTTGGGAGGGCTCAGAAAACTAAAGAGGGGAACTTCTAGAACTTTATAAAGAATATCTACAAAAAACCAAAAGCTAATGATAAGAAATATGACGCTTTCCTGCTAAGATCAAGAATAAGGCAAATATGCTCTTTCTGCTTTTCCACATCATACTGGAAGCACTAGCTAATCCAAGAAGATAAAAGAAGGACAACAGAGTAAACAGATTGGGAAAGAAGAAATAAAATTGGTTCTGTTCACAGATGACATGATTGTCTATGTGTAGAATCCTGAAGAACTGACCAAAAAAATCTCCTAAAATTAATAAGCAATTATGAAAAGGTTGCAAGATACAAGGTTAACACATAAAATTGCTTTCATAAGTACCAGCAATGAACAAGTGGGGTTTGAAATTAAAAACATGTTATAATTTATATTAGCACCTCCCAAAATTAAATATGTATGTATAAATCTAACAAAATACGCATAGATCTAAAAGAGAAAACTACAACAGTCAGAAGAGAAATACCAAAGAAAAGTAAAATAAACAGAAATATTCAGTACAACAGAAAGGACTGGAAGATTCAACATCATTAAGATGTCAATTCTTCTCAGATTATTCTACAGATTCAACACAATCTTAGTCAAAATCCCAGCAAGCTGTTTCGTAGATACTAACAAACTGATTTAAAGTTTATATGAAGAGGTTAAAAAAAAAAAAGAACCATAATAGCCATCTCAATATTGAAAGAGAAGAAAAAATTGGAGGACTAAAACTATGTCATTTCAAGACTTACTTACTATAAAGCCACTGAGTTACTATAAAGCCACTGTAATCAATATAGCATGGTATTGGCTAAAGCACATATGTACTGTACAACTACATCAACAGACAGAGATTAGAAATAAATCCACAAAAATATAGTCAATTGATCTTTTAAAAGGTGCACAGGCAATTCAAGGGAAAAACAAGACTTTAAGAAATGCTGTGGGACAACTGGGCATCCACATCCAAAACAATGAATCTAGACACACACTTTACAACCTTCACAAAACTTAAAATGAAGCACTGATGTAAATGTAAAACACAAAACTATGAAACTCCTGTAAGATAATATAGGAGAAAACCTAGATAAACTTGGGTATGGTGATAACTTTTTAGATATAACACCAAAGGCATAGTCCATGAAAAAAAAATAAGATGGACTTTCTTAAAGTTACAAATGTCTGCTCTGTGAAAGACAGTATCAAGGAAATGAGAACACAAGAGACAGACTACAAAAGACATCTGGGATGTGGATGTAGCTCAGTGATACAGTGCTTGCCTAGCATGCCTGAGGCCCTGGGTTTGATCCTCAGGACTGAAAAAGAAGAAAAAAATCTGATAAAGAACCACTATCTAAAAGATACAAAGAACTATTAAAATTTAGTAAGATAATGAACAACCCAATTAAAAAATGGGTAAGACTAAAACAGACAACCACCAAAAAGACACAGAAATGGTGTAAAGTATATGGAAACATGCTCAATATCATGTCACTAGAGAACTGCAATTAAAACATCAGTGTTATGTCCCCATATATCAATTAAAATGGTCAAATCCAAAATACTGACACTAAATGCTGGAGGGGATGATGGGAAGCATCCTCTGGTGGGATTCACTGGTGGTGGAAATGCAAAATGGCACAGCCACTTTAAAAGATGGTTGGTGGTCGTTTATACAACTAAACATACCGTTAACATATGATCCAGCAATCATGCTCCTTGGTATATTTACCTAAATGAATTGAAAACATGTTCACACAAAAACCTGTACACAGATATTTGTAGCAGCTTTATTTACAATTTATATGGCAGCTTTGCCATAACTTGCAAGCAATGAAGATATCCTTCAGCAGGTTGATGGATAGACTGTGGTACACACATACAATGGAATATCATTCAATGTTAAAGAGAAATGAGCTATTGAGCCATGAAAAGATATGGAGGTATCTTAAATGAATATTAAATGAGAGAAGCCAATCTAAAATTTCCACATACTACAATTAGATGATACTCTGGAAAAAGTAAAACTATGAAGACAGTAAAGTAATCAGTAGTTTCTGGGGGAAAGAAAGGAAGGGAAAAGGAGGGAGAGAAAAATAAGCAGAGCACAGAGGATTTTTAGGGCAGTGACATTATTTCATATTATATTACAATGGTAGACATACATAATTATACACTTGTTAAAGGCCATAGAATGTATAATACCAAGAGTGAGGCCTAATGTAAACTATGGACTTTGGGTAATAACAGGCCAATGCAGGTCACTCAGGTGAGGATAGGGAAATGGTGCATGAGTGGATAAAGGGTATATGGGAACTCTGTATTTTCCATTCAATTTTGCTATGAGCCTATTGTTCTAAAAATAAAGTTTACTAATTAAAAGTGCATTATATACTAGAAAGACCAATAATACAGGAAGATAAAAATCCCACACAAAATATTCTTTACTATTCAACAAAAATTGAATCTTCTTTTTCAAACATGGAATCTAGAATTTGCTTCACACCTTATGTTTGTTTATAATTTATATTTATGTTTTTACTTTCCCCAATCATTTATCGTGATGAAGTATATTTATTTTTAAAATGAACTTAAGTACATTTTAATCACCTAGTGTAATACATGAAGGGAATTATAAAGGTTTTTAGAACATCTTAAAATTACAAGGAAAAGACGATGTAACTAAAATTTCATAAAATGTCACCTATTCTATAACTCACCAGAATGTTTCAGAGAAGACATGGGAATATCTAAGAAAACACATATGCATACTAAAGAAAAAAATGGACTATGAAAATTATAGCTATTACCAGTTACCATAAATTAATTTAAAAGAAGAATAGGAAAGATCTGATGAAAAAGATCACAAAGAGGTATAAATCAGAGAAGAATGTAGAGGAAACATGGTAAAACAACAAAGAGAAAAATGGGCTTCTAAGTGATGAAGAAAAGATATAAAATATGCTTTGGAGTTTTGCATAAACTGTGAGTCCATTTAAATTTATATTCTGATTAATTTAAAGCAAATGGATAAAATTATTGCTACCACATGTAGGCTGAAAGTTATCACATGTTCCTTTAAATAGTATGCTCAGTCTAAACACATACATAAGCCACAAAAATGAGGCCGAAGAGTTACATGTTTGTAATAATGTAATCAAGGGCCAATTTTGCACCTGAAAAAAGTAATCCGTTGAGGAAGCAAAAAATACTCCATGTAAACAATGAAGAAAACATCTACAAGTGTAGGTACTAAACTACACATGACAAAAGACAAAGTTACACACAAGGATGAATTCATGGATCATCACAGTCCAACCTGTTTTCATTGGCTTGTTTAGACACGGCCTTCAATCTTTTCAAAGTTTTTCTAATAACATCAGCATCAGGGAAATGGTGATGACCTGCAGCCCCATTAGGAAATCCTGGACGAACTCCAGGTAGAATATCTCTGTAGATAAATATGCACAGTGACTTTCATTACTTTCTCTGAAACAAAGCATAAATAATTTCTGCAGAATACAGCCATACCTTTCTGGAAGCCCTTGACCATGCATCTCTCCTTTACATTTCACTTCATTATCTTCTGCTCTTTGTTGCTGCATTTGATCAAAAATGGCATGGTAATGTTCATATTGTCCTCGAGAAGAACAAGATGATGGAACTACAGGCCCTCCAATGCCAAAGAAAGGAGCCTAAGGATTAAACAAAGAGCTCTCACATGTTTGTCTTCTAAGGCCTGAAAGGCCTGTACTATCTTCAAAAGAAAAAACTAAATTTCACCTTTCAAAGAGCAGTTACTTAATTTGAGTATATTAATAAACATGGTCAAAAGCAAAATATTCTACTATGTTATAACCATTATCAATCAAAAAGTCAAATTCTTAGTTACTAACAATAAAACAATTTAATGTGACAAACAAAAACATTAAAATGTCTCTAAACTCATGCAAATTTGGAGAAATCTAGTCTTAATGAATAGGTTTTAAAACAAGTTTACATTATATAATTCAAGTGATTCTGTTCTATGAAATTTAAATATATATAGCCTCTAAGTAGAACAGAACCTGCCTATATCACACACAGGCTTATATTTAATGAAAGCATTTGCATATGGTTTTTAACATACTCTAAATCTATTTAACAAGTACAGTAGATATGAAGGTATACACATTACTAAAACATATGCTATATGTAGATAAGAGTCAAAATATGATATTTATCCTTAGTTTTCAAACATGTTGGGGGAAAAATACCACAAAACTGGAAAACATTTCAATCTTGAGATAAATGAAAAACAGGGACAATCCTAAGTAGTATGTACTAAGTGAATTCACAAAACACAAAACAATCAAAAGTAAAAATCTCTATTTAAAAAAATGTCTTGGAGAAAGTTTTTTGTTTTGTTTCATTTTGTTTTTTAACTTGGCCCCGATAGCAATGTAACAGAGAGACTGTTAAAGGTACAAATCAAAGAATTAAAGTGAAAATAAGCCATATATGTATATATTTAGGTGCTAGAGATAGGATAGAGAGGAAGTCTGATGACAAACATAATTACAAGGAAGCCAAATAGGGAGCATTAAGCTTGATGATAAAGGCTGCTTTAGCTAAGTGCTGCTGGTCTTGGGTGTATGCATTCACATAACCACAACAAAAAGCATTTCTAAACTTTCTAGTAGCAGTAGTATACCAAAACATTTTTAAGAAGGTCAATAAATCAATAGCATGCATTATAAGCAGAAATGAGAGATCAAAGTAGAGAAAAACTAATTAGAGGGTTGTTGCCCTGACACCAAGCCAAGAAGACTAGAAGTAAGTAAAGGGAATCAATGAAAAAGAAAATGCTGAATGGACTTACGGATTCTCTGCAGGACAATAAAAGAAAAATGAAAAGACACAAGGACTCAATCACAAAGACATGTTAGGAAAGGGTCAGAGTTTAAAGTAAATAAAAAGAGTACTATGCTACAGAATTTATTGTAGAAGAATTTCATCAAGAAGAGGAAATCAATAATCTCAAATGCAGAGTTCAACAGCATTAAAAATTTGACAGATATGACTAAAGGGGAGGAGCCTTAACAAAACCATTTTTTTTCTTTTATGAAGTGATGAAAACCAGAAGCCAGCATATTGACAGTAGAGGAGGAAGAGCTTCCCCAATACTAAAATCTAAGTAATCAGTCTGGTTAAGAAAAGATACAAAAGTTTGGTTGTGGTTGCACACTTCTATTCTCTCAGTACTCTGGGAGGCTGAGCCAGGATTCCATGTTCTAGCGCAGCCTATGTACCTTAATGACACCATGTCCCAAAATAAAAATATAAAAAAGGGATAGATGTATCTTAGTCCATAAGGCCCTGGGTTCAATCCTCAGGACCAAAGAAAGAAAGAAAAAAAAATACACAAAACAATTAGTCAGAATTTCCAGTGTAACTTGATGAGAAGAAATTTGCTTTAACATCTTGGGACAGTAGGTTGCACACAATTAAAGTATGATTTAAAAAAAATCAATTCAATTTAAGTATACATAATAAACATGTTCAAATTATAGTACAAGAGAAGAAAGTTACTAGAAATAGGAAAGATTAAAATTAAGCTGGAAACTTTATCAAGGAGTTTCTCAAGTTTCTTCAACATGAGCATTTCAGTCAAGAATCAGAAGCAGGGCTGGGGATTTAGCTCAGTGGCACTGCACCTGCCTTGCATACGCAAGGTCCTGAGTTCGATCCACAGTACAAAAGAATCAGAAGCAGAATTCTGTAAAAAGGTTGTCACTTCTCCTATAAAACAGTTCGTTCTTTAAGTTTAGTCCAATGATAATATCTTGACTTTGTGTTATAAAGTTTCTTATGAGCAAAAGCAAAAGTAGGTAAACATCTCTGAAAATGTTTATACAGTACTGAAGCAATATGACCTTTTAGAAATCACCTTTATTGAAGCCGGTTTATATATCATAAAATTGACCAATCATAAGCCTAGAGTGATACATCCACATAACCACCACAATCACAATTACCCCAAAAAATTCCCTCCTGTTCCTTTGTAGCAAATGGCCTCTTGGGCTGGGGATTTAGCTCAGTGGTTCTGCCACCTGCCTCGCAAGCGCAAAGACCTGAGTTCAATCCCTGGTACCAAAAAACAAACAAACAAGCAAATGGCCTCTCACTGCCAGAAACTACCAATGTGTTTTCTGTTGCTATGAATTGGATCTTCCTTTTCTGTAATTTTATATAAATGGAACTATATGACATATATTGGTTTGTCTGCCTTCCTTAACTCAGTCTGTTTTTGAGATTGACCCATGTTGCATGTATAAACAGAGTATTCCTTTTTATTGGTGAATAGTACCACAATGTATCTTCAAACAATAGATACACCTCTTGCATATTATGATCACCAGATGATCAAAACTATATATATGGAATATGTAACTTTTCTAAAACCATATTCAAAAGAGATATAAACCAAAGCCCTTGATTTAGCAAATCATAGTCAGAATCAGTCAGATATTTACATTGTGAATAAAAATACTATTTAGAAGTATATAATAAATAATAGTATTAATTTTGAAATATTTCCCTTAATGCTGAGTTTCCATTTTATCTTTATTTGGGGAATTTCCTTGATTTGATTCATGTTACACTGAGCCTCTAGGTCCTTAGCAACTATGGAAAATCAAACAGCCTACCATGGTATGGCAACACATGCTCGGCAACACATGCTCGCAATCCCAGAACTCTGGGAGGCCGAGCCAGGAGGATCACAAGTTTGAGCCCAGCCTGTGCAAATTAATAAGACATTGCACTGGGGATATACCTCAGTGTGAATGCTCTGGGCTCAATCACCAGTACTGCAAGAGGGAAAAAGAAGCCTAGCAAGATAAATATTTCAAACTGAGGAATAAGTACAGAAACTAACATAGAGATTGCTTTATGTCATGGAAAATAAATTATTTTTTTCCTCAATGAAAGCATTACAGAAGTTAATAAAATGAAGCCAAAATCTATTAAGCACATGTTATCTACTGAAAAGCTATCTCAATTAGTTATCAAGTAAGACTGATAAAGGTGGACCATAAGAATTAAATATTGCTTTAGACACAGGAAAAATACATCACACAGAAGATGCAGGCAAAATACTTTATTACATGGAGGATATGAAAAATAATCAAAATCTCAACACTAATAAATAGACTTGCACAAAGTATTGAGCTCCACACTTGGACTAAGTTTTCACGTAAGATATAGGGCAAGCTAATTTTAGAATGGATCGAAGTCTGACCCACTTATTCTTTTTTTTTTTTTTTTTGTATCAGGGATCGAACTCGGGTCCTTGCACTTGCGAGGCAGGCGGCAGAACCACTGAGCTAAATCCCTGGCCCTCCAACTTATTCTTTATCATTCAGAAAGTAGTAAGCTCTACTTAAAGTTAAATTACTAAAAACAGTGTAGAAGTCTACATTAATGCAGAACTGAAAAAAATGACTCAATGAATTATTGATATGTTTTTAAAAAGTTCATTTAAAGAGATTAAAAAACATCTAAATTCAGAACAAATTATATATATCTAGATAAAACAAAGTAAACTTTTTTTTAAATCATAACATCTATGAAAAAGAAACAAGAAAAATTCAACTTGGTAAATACTGTATAACTAAATATCAAGATTAATGGTCATAAACCAGTAAATTTACAGTGTAAAGCTATGCTAACAGCTAATTCAATGACAGAAATTAAAATGATAATACAGAAAAATAGTAGTGCATTCATTTTCTATTGTTGTGCAACAAATTATCACAAACTCAGCAGAATAAAACAATATCCATTTATTAGCTCAATTTCCCTGGCTCACAGTCTAGGTATATTTAGCTGGATCTCTGGGTCAGGATCTCACTGGGCAGAAAGGAAGAAATCAGTGTCAGCCAGGGCTACAATTCTCTTCTGAGGAGCAGGCTCTCTTCCAAGCTCACTGATTTTGGCAGAATCCAATTTGCTATGGGTGTATACTAAGGTCATCATTTTCTTCCCAGTTACTGGTCAGAAATCTAGGCCACCTAAACCATCTTGCCAAGTCAATGTTTGCTATACTCCATGCCAACAGAAGTAGAACTCTCTGGACCTCATTTTTTCTTCCACTGAGCTATGAAGAAGTCTTCTATGTTAATGTAATCATGGATGTGACTATCCCTTAAACTTTTGCCTCACATCATCATCTAATTAAAGGAGCTACTCTAGCACCACACTCACAGACTCCACCCATAACTCAAGGGAAGGGAAGATGAAGTGTATGCACCAGGGGCCAGGAATTTTGGAGACATTTTATAAATCAGTCTACCACAGACAGAGGCGTCTATCAGATGGATGGTAAGCACAAGACTCAGAATGACAGTAAAAAGACAGGAAAAGTACTGTCTGAGCCTTTGCTAACCTAGCTCCTGGCTCAGTTCTCAGGGGAAAAGGAAAGTTAATAAGAAACTAAAGCTCAGAAAAGGTAAGTAACTTGCCCAAGGTTATACAGTGTGCATCTACCCAAAGGGAATGTCTGAATTAACAAATCTAGGTAGTTATCTAGCTAATTGGTTATGTAGGTAAATGAATGAGAAAGTAGGGCTGAGTGGGAGGAAGAAAGGAGGGGTGCCATCAAGTAAAGAGAAACACAACTACAAAGACAAAAGATTCAGAAGGCTACATACAGAAAAGAAACTACAAATAAGGTCTTTAGTTCAGCACTGAGTACAGCATAAAATGTGAGGTAGGAAATGGAGGGAGATGAGCTTGGAGAGACTGGCAGGGGCCAGATTAAAAAGTCTTCTACAAACTTAATTTTTAAAGCTACACGAAAAATAATAACAAATTGTTTAATTCTGTATTTGATTCCTCTGATATGAAGTGTATCATAATCTTCACATGAAACGTTTTAAAGCAATTTTAAGTGACATATTAGTAATTAATTCAACATACAAAAGAAAGCTAAGAAATCATAGGTAATTGCTGAAAAACTCTAGATAAGAAATTAAATATTCATAGAAAAGCAGTCAGTAACACAGTTTGAAGAATGAGGTGAAACTGGACAAAAAGTAACAATAACACATAATTTTACTGATATCAAATGCATACCTTTGCTTCACCACTTCCACCAGCACTTAGTACATTTCTCCATCCTTGTTCCCTGGCCCTATTTATTCTCTCCAACTTTGGGGGAAAAGAAACAAACAAACAAAACACCATTTCAAGTATTTAATATAAAATATATGAAATACATTTAGTTATAAAATGGAAATCAGTGTACTCTTTTTTAAGTATGTGTGTGGGGAAGGGGAGAAATGTATCATGGAAAAAATAAGTTATCCTCTTACCCTTTCCTTTTCTTGCCTTTTCATTTGTTCAGCCTTCAATAAACTTATCTGTAATAATTTTAAAGACATACTTCTTAGAACTCAAAATTCTTAGCGTCTACAACTTGGCAAAGGAAGAAAAATAAGTGTAAAAAGCTACCTGATACTTTTGTTTCTTTTCTTTGTCAATAAATTCCGACCTTTTCTTTCTTGCTGCTTCCTTAAATAAAAAAAGAATATTTTGTTGATAATAATTCCTACTTTTCTTATTTTTTTAGTCAGGGAAGTTAGTATACTGATGGCAAAGGTATGCTCAGAGTGGTTAAAAAAGAAAGAAACAAATAGGTTACAGACATGTGTTTGAAAGAAATGAGGAAAGGTTTGGAGGCTTTATATTGTAAGGTTTTGGTTTTTTTGTTATAATTATTTCTGCAAAGTTTTAAAATAAGCAGACAAATATCTTTATACCTCATACATTTTCCTCCTTTCTTCTCCAGGATTCTTTTTCTTCACTGGAGTTTGATGGGCCTAGACAAAAAGTAAAACTACAAATTAGATAAAAACTTTCAGGCAAAAATTTAAGAATTCCAAATTTATGGAAATGTAAACTAAGAAAGCAGTAAAGCCAATACTTCTGTATTGTACTTTTTAAAAAAATGTTACCTTTAAAAATAAACAAACACTGCAATCTTTTGATATCCCTTCTGCCAAAGAAAATATTAGAGTCAAAGAAACTAGAAAGGACTCTTCTCCAATCATCAACTAAATAGTTTTGTTCTCATTTACTGATGCTAATTTTAAATTTCTAATTCTATGATAATACATCTTTCAAAAAACACAATAATGAAATTTTTCTTTAAAAATAGTTACATAACAAATATTCACTACATGAAATTCTAATAAGAAAATTTATAGCCCACTTCACTCCAGAGATAACTGCTGATATTTTTATGAAAATTCTTCCAGACATTTTCACACACCTATATACATATAGCTATATAGACAGAATTGAGGCATTTTATGGCTTTTACATAAATCTCTCAAAATGTTAGTAGATGGCAAAAAAAATTTATTAACAATGTACCTTGAGTGCAGAGGACAAGGCTTCTGGGCTGCCATAGCACCACTCCCAGCACATAGGAGGAGGCTTCTGGGCCAACGTAGCACCGATCCCAGTGCAGAGGAAGTGAGCCACGTGGGCACCAGAAGCACACCCCCCAGTCCACATAGAAATGAGAAGACACGTAAACAAGCCTCAAAACCAGACTTCCAGATCACCTAAAGCAACCCCAAAGGAAAACGAGATGGAACAATCTGATACTCAAACACCTGGACTCCCTGAATTGGCAACAAAAGACAATCTGGAAAAAAGGAAATCAGAAATGATTTCTCAGATAACAGCGGAGATTATGCCCACAGTCCAAGACATGATTAATAAATCTAGAGAGTACACAGAAAAAAAAATAGAGGAGCTAAGAAACATGATGGAATCCCAACATAGGAAACAAATGGAATCGATAAAACATATGCACACAGATTTCCAGATTAAAAACTCCACTGAAACTCTATGCAGCAGAATGAGCCATTGTAAGGACAGAATTTCAGATATAGAAGATAAGATTGCAATTAGTGACCAGTAAAAGAAAAACTGCTTTAAAATTGTAAGACCATGAGAAATAAATCCAGCAGCTGCTAGACAATGCAAAGAAGAATAAAATAAGACAGATCATAATCAATGAAGAAACAGGAGAGAGTGCAGATGACATTAAAAAAAAAACTGTTCACAAAAATCAAGGCAGAAAACTTCCCAAGCAGGGGAAAAGAACTTGACACACAGATAAGTGAGGCATGTAGGATTCCAACTAGCCTTGATCAAAACAAGTATCTACACATAGGCATATAATACTTAAGATTCCAGAAACCCAAAAGGAGAACAAAATTCTACAAGCAGTTAGAGAAAAGAAACAAATCACATACAAAGGAAAGCCCATCAGAATCACAGC